GGGGGGGGGGGGGGGGGGGGGGGGGGGGGGAGATTTGAAAAATTTCCCTAATTCTTACGTATAATTTTAGATAACAGAAACGCAGCTAGGATTCATTTTCTCAGTTAAAGAGCATATGAACGAAAAGTTTTATTGTAAATTAAAAGGCCTATAAAAGTTTGATATACGTGATGGTTTCTACGTCAAAAAATGCATAATGATTAGGTTAGAGTTATCCAGTTTAAGTTGTATATCCTTGCTATCAGGCAACCTCGTCCCCAGGGCCTTTTGAGGAAGGAGGCGAAGGGCAGCTTCGCCTCCTTCCTCAAAAGGCCCTGGGGACGAGGTTGGCTATCAGGGCCGTAATATTACGTTGTATTATTATATGGCAAGCATCACTTCCGGTAAAATGGCTTAGTATTGCAGTTTTGTCGGGCAGTTTTAACTGACACGCTCGTCGGGCAAAAAACATGTAATTCAGCAAAAAATTACATAATTTGTTGAAAACTGAATACTTGTAGGAAAATTTTTGATAAACTTACGAAAATATTACTGGAAAATTGTACAAATTTCGGTAAGTTCGTGAAAAATGGTACGTCTGAAATTTTTTTTCCTCCCCCCCCCCCCGAGTTTGGGTAATTGTCGAGTGTCATACGTCGAGGTCGAGGGTCAAAAGTTGAGGTCGAGGGTTGAAAATACTAAATTTTTATCTATTTTAAAAGTCTTAAACCATTTTGAAAGCTTCTAAACGCGGCAAAACAATTAGTTTGCTCTCAAAACTGGAAAATTTCGCCTATATGGCTATGACTGAAAGTTTATAAGTATACTGAAAGTTTCGCTTGTGGAACTAAAAGTCTGGATGCGAGGTTTGATGTTTGAAAGTATACATCTTTTATTTTACATTGGAGTTTAAAACATACAAACATGGGCGATGATACAAAAATTGCGTTTCGCTCTCACGAGAAATTTGATTCTAAGTAATATGTTATCTCTGGGCGGCGACAGAGTTCTGAAATTGCTCAGAACTTCAACTCTTAACGCTAGCCTACTCCCCATACCCCGTATCGTTGTGTGACAAACAGTTAAAGATGGGGTTCAAGATACAACAATCAGGCTTTGCAAGAACATTAAATGAAATAAAAACTTAATTA